CAGGACCTGCCACTGATGAACCCGTGCTGATTGCCCCTAAGCATGCAGTCCCCTGCTGTCCCCTCCTGGATGTGTGCCAGAATTATTTTCTCAAACAGCTTGCCTAGGATCGAGGTAAGACTAACTGGCCTATAGTTTCCTGGGTCCTCCTTCCTCCCTTTTTTGAAGATTGGAACCACACTGGCCCAAAGGTCATTTCCTTTCCTAGGAGTAGGATCAGTTTGTTCATGTTTTGCACAAAGCTAGTAGAAACTAGGTTTATATTGGGGGGGGGTTGGATTTCATCCCAGAAAAATGCATTATTCAACATAGCTTATCAGTTTTATCAACTGTGATTTGTAACTACTGAGTTAATTTTGCATTTTGTACAAAGAGCTTACTTAAAATAACTAAAATAATTATTTATAACATGATTGTCTGTTCCAAAACTAACACAATGCATATATCCTCTGAATTATCTGCTTTGCTACTGAATAACTTTGTGCAATGTTCCCTAGATCATTGTCTCCTAAAACAAAACAGGAAAATCATAATCAACATCAGAGCTTTCAGTAAGGCAAATACATTATGGTAACCAAAAAAAGAACAGACTGGGAAAAGGTAGCCTACTTACCCAGAATAGCTGCCAGTCAATCAGCTGATTATCTCAAACAACTTAATTAATGGAATTTCATGGCTAACTTACTGCATTCACTTTAATTAATATGCTTATGTGGACTGAGCAGTCAGGTCAATTCAATGCTTTCTAGACCTGAAGGCCCAATTAGTGAAAAATATCACATTTGATCATACTGCTAGATAAGTGCATATGTTTTTGGACTTTAATAAATAAAATGTGGTTACCATAAATAAACTTTTCTCACTACAGTTTAAGATTAGAAATGCTATTAAAAACATTTTCCCCCCAAATTTTTAAATTTAGCATGAAAGTTGTGAAGAGAGGCCATTTTAACCTACTGAATTTCTCTTCTGTGAGCTCCCTATCATTGGGGAGGACCACAAGATCTGTGCAGTGGTAGATCTCTCACCCAGCTGAGTTGTGTTCCAGAGTTTAAAAGTCAGGAAATCTCACACTTCCACCACTGGGACAGCAGAGACACTGGTTTCTCTGGCAGAGATCTTCTGTGGCTGTCCATGTGGGGACAGGGATATGGTATTTTTGCTATACAATAAGTTTTGACATGATGTCCTTCCTGCAGCTCTACACTCACCTGTACTTTGGGGCCACCTCCTGATACCTTTGAGATGTAACCCATGATATACTTAGCAGCGACAGTCTTTCCAGCACCACTTTCCCCACTAGGAAGAAGAACACAGATACATTTCTCATAAGTGGTTTCGACCTAAAAACAGTATGGAAGTCAATAAAATATTGTGACACCATCATATCCAGTTATAGTATAACACTGAGGACCATACTAGATCATACCTGCTAAGGACCATAGCAAAGTTAATGAAAGTCTAACAAGGACTAGACCACCTGGGCTAAGTACAGACAGTCAAAAAGCCTGAGGCTGAACTGATTCAGTCTTTACAGGGCAGTCTAAGCTGCAAAGATTGAACCAATAAGCAAATGAACAGCCATTCACTTTTGATTCAGGAAAGGCAAGCCACATGCCTGCAGTGGCTCAAGGTAGAAGCTGGGGGATGCTAGAGCACAGCTCTCCAGCACAGTAGCCAGCATGGGCTCTGTGTTTGCTTCCTCTTCCTGATGCCCCCGAGGTCTCTGGGGTTTGCAGTTCACAATCACAGAAGTAGGATCTTCATCACTCATCACTTCTTTTTCCTGTTTCCAGGTGCCCCTGGGATTTGTAGTCCACAGTCACAGCCAGAACTAAGTAAACAGGACAGGGTAGCTCCATATTTGGGAGAAGGGAAGTTTAACCCCTCTCCCTGGCCCCAGACCCCAGCATGGGTTTGCCAGTGGGGGGGGTTGGTGAGCCAGCCAGTGAGGCCAGTAAGCCAGCCCTCACTGCTCCAGCTAGGGAGCAGAGGTATGGGGCCAGCTCTGCTCACTGAAGCAGACAGCACTGCCCAGCCCAGGGCTGCAAAATGCTTGGATGTTGGGGGACTGATTTAACCTGAACCAGGAAGGAGTCTGGGAAAGAAGTTTCATAAACTGGCTTGACTTAAATCGGTTAAGTCTGATACTTCTTTCAACCAGGTTTATCTTAAACCAGTTTCAGCCATTTTGAAACTGGTTTATGTGCACTGAGCTTCTGTTCTGTTACAGGTTTAAACCAGTTTTTGATCTCTTAAAGCAGTTTATGTGTAACTTCTGTCCTTAGCCCTGGAGTTAGTCTGAAAAACTAAAACATGAAAATAGATGCAACTGAAAGAAAAAAGGTGATGTGTCAGTGCTACTGAGAGGTTTTCCAGTTTAAGCATAACTTTTTTTTCTTTGATACACTGGTAGAAATCTAGAATCGCTGGTGAAAACTACTGTAAAACTGGAGAAGTTCAGATTTACACTGGCATAATTAAGGTTTATCATATTTAACTATAATAATGAACTCGGGTAAATTGATAACAGAGAACGAGAATGTGACATAATATTCTCATGTACTAGTTAGGCATGTTTATACAGACATGAAATCTGTCCTTACAAAATGGAAAGTTCATAACTTGAGAATTATAAATACACTTAGGTTCTTTGAAAACATCTGCCTAAGGCCTAGGACCCTAGGGTGCCTACACACAACCTGGGAGGCTGCTCCAATGCATTGTAACTACAGAGCATTGGAGCAGACTCAATTAATCAAGTCTACTGTGCTCCAGGCAGCCTCTACATCTTGTGTATCAGCGTCCCTGCACTTCAAATGGCAGCAGGGGTGCTTTACCTACAGCTACTTCAACAAGCTTTAGTTAAAGCACCTCTGCTGCCATTTTGAAGCATGGGAACACAGATGCGCAAGACTCTCTGGGTGCTTTAATTAGAGCAGCTCTTGAAGCCCCCCTCCCCACTAAAAGCCTCCTTTCCCCCTTCCCCACCCCTCAAACTCCCAGAGCATGTATAAAAACACCCCTAGTTCCCACTGAATGCTAGTATTTGGTCTTCTACCTCCCTTGGGCTCCTTTGAAAATTTATGTTTTACATTTTAAACTATCTGCCTACAATCAGTGCAGAAGTCTTTTGTTTGGGGTGTTCCTGAATGAAATAATGAGATCTTATTAATCACATCCTGTATGACAGAGAACTACCTTCCTGTTCTTAGGCCTCTTGACACAGGGTATGAGAAGTGTTGATAGTCCACACCAACTTTTCACAATTCCTTCCTTCCTTCCTTTAGAATAGTTCTTTTCAATGAGGACATTAGAATACATGCTGTAACATAACAGCCAGGGGAAAACTATAAGACTCCTCAAGGAAAGATACAGTGCTGAACTAAAATGAGGTAAGTGACAAGGACTACATGAAGGTTTACACCTGAAAATCAGCTTATTTTCAATTAAATATTTTCTGATTAACTACCTTTCATTCAAGGCATATCAATCCTTGTATTTCTTGAGTTATCCATGACCAAGGGTGACCAACCTGTGCTATGAATACCACAAGTGGCATGGGGAGTCTCTGTGTGTGGCATGTGGCAGATCTGCAGCACAACAGCAGATAGGGCAGGGAGAAGAAAGCAGAGCAGGAGATCAGGGAAGGGACACAGGGCAGGAGGCAGAAAGCAAAGGAAGAGATTGGGCAGGGAGGCAAGGAGTAGGGAGCAAAAAGCAGAGCAGAAGACTGGGTAGAAGAAGGGTATCAGAGTGGCACTCAGGAAGGGTGCAGGCCAAATTTGTGGTGTGCCTGCCAAAACAGTTGGCCTCCACTGACTTAGATCATTGAAGAAATAAAACAGGCCCACTCAAATGTTTATCATAAATCATAACAGTATTTTGAAATCCTTATCTTTGTGTAGCAAAGTCTCTATAATCCTCAAACTCTGAATAAATTTAAGAGGTTTTAATCCCAGGGTTACACCATATTACTAGATGTAAATCAACTACATGTCCTTTCTTCCTCAAATCCTGCTCTACTCATGGCCTTGTTGTAGTGGGGAAGAGTCTTCCTGGGTGATGCCAAAGCAGAAATGATGGATAAATTTCCATATGCTCTGAATTCTGTCAAGTACCCAAAACCCTGAATTAATACCTCGCAAAATGTCTGCACTTCCAGATGGTAAAGAAATTCTGGTGAAAAACTTCCCACTAATTTGACTATGTTTGCTTCTTATCCTGACTATGAAGCACAGATTAGCCATAAAATATAACTCTTGTAAAGCTGGTTAAACCTTTTGAATCTCTCAAAAAATGTATTCTGAGTTTACATCACCTCTGAGTAAATGCTGGGATCAGTTCCTTCACTGTTTAACTGCTTCATCTATCCTTAATCAGCCTGCAGAAGAGAGTGCAGCCTTTCACATTAGCCCCTGAAAATACATCCTGGAACAATGTAAATTCTGTTCACAGTAACAGGTTGGGTAATCTCAAGTGGATGGTGAACTGTGTTTGCAGTCCATATCAACAGACCAGTCTGAGAGCTAAAACTAACAAAGGCACAGTCCTTCAAAGCAGTCTGGCCAGAGTATGGGCTCTACAACTGCAAATTTTAGAAATAGGAAGGATACAACCTCCAGCAGATTCTTGATCTAATGTCTCTTATAAAAAACAAAACAAAAACAAATAAACAAAAAGAATATAACAATACTAGACATGCACACCCAACCCTGCATACCCCCCATGCTCCTTCAAAAAAGAAAAAAAACCCTAAATAAATAAAGTAAAAAAATTTGAGAAGAGATTTATATTTTGATTCCTGATTTCATGCTGGAAATAATAGAAATAGAAAGCCTATGTTTCTAGTAAATATTTTCAACGTGAATAAAACTTGCAAGCATCAATATGTGGAAAACTAACATAACAATAGCAAAATCTAAGGAGAAAAATTATACCTACAGAAACTTATAGGCATTCAAGTATTCATACCATTTCAAAACCTAGCAGATTTGCTGTATTTGCCTGAATCCAAGGTGACTTTGAATTCAAAATGGCCCACGGTAATTGGAAAATGTGTACATTTTTTATTATTTTCCACATATAAAATATAATTATTGGAGGGTCAGCTAGAATTTATGCCCCGCCCCCTTCCCCATTGTCAGCAATTCCTCAGTTTGGAAATGAGTTCTACCACGGCTCACTGATGGTCCTGAGGTGATTTAAAAGTCCAATCCTTGAGTCACAGATCCATCCACAAAAGTTGCAAATATTTCTGCAGGGGACAGTAGGCTGCAGGCTGGTATTCCTCCCCTCTTCTTTTCTCAGCTCTCCTCTCTATCGAAGGCAAGACGCTTAAGCTTGAAATGGGTTGACTCTTCATTGAGGTTGTGATGCCTTTGGAATTGGTCTGCAGCCAGCTTTTAATGTCAGCATCCATTTTCTTGAGGTATGCCTTCAGTGTATCCTTGTAGCATTTCTTCCTGGCACCACAATCTCTCAGGCCATTACTAAGCTGGGAGTAGAGCACACTAACCTGGGAGTCAAGAGTCAGGCATCCGCACACAATGTGTGGCCCAGTAAAGTTTTTGCTTGAGGATCTCTGACGCAATGCTAAAAACACTGGACTCAGCAAGGATGCTGGTGGCATCATTGCAGTGATCTTCTCATGTGATGTGCAGGATTTTCTAGGTGTATTGTCTGTGATGCCTCTACAGGCTCTTCAGCTGGCAACAGTAAGCCACCCATGTTTCACATCTGTAGATGAAGGTGGGGGTGACAATTTCATTGTAGACCTGGAACTTGGTGTCCTTCCAGAGATTGTGATGAATAAAGACATACCAAAGCAATTTTCTAAAGGACACACTTGTGTACCAGTTCCTCTGCTGGATCTCCTCTTCAATGTTCACTCTCTGAGAGAAGTGGATGCCAAGATAGGGGAAGTGCTTAACTACCACCAGGATCTTTCTCTGGGGCAGGGGGTGGTATCACATTCATGGTCCAAGGTAGCCTGATAGAGCACTTTAGTCCTCTCAACGCTGCGAGAAGGTCCAAAGTTTGGTAGGTTTCTCCAAAAACATCCAGAGCAGTCTGGAGGTTTTCCTCAGCATGTGCAAGGATGGTACAGTCATCAGCATACTGAAGGTCAAGGATGGCTGTTTTGAGTACTTTGGTTTTTGAACAAAAATGTCCCAGATTGAAAAGCCCTCCATCCATTCACTATTCAATATCAATTCCAGAAGGAAGGCAGTCCTTAATGGAGAACAGAGTTAGAGCAATGACACGTCCTTGCTTGACCTCAGTACAGATGACAAATG